TACACTAACGCTTGAAGAGAAGTTATGTATCGAACAAATCTGTCATATTCAAAGTCATATTGAATGAAGGATACTTGAGTGGTGATTAGTGAAGGTTTGATTCAGCTGGAGTGTAATGTACAGCTTCTCTTATGAACGGCCGCTGTGTCGCTGGTCGTGTGTCGTGTGTGTTCATATTATAATATATTGTTATCACTGAACCACCAGAGATGTGACATGTCCTGTTATCGGCTCCATTTATCGGTCAATAGTGTAGTTGTTATCAGTCGGCCGTCCTTCTCCCCCCCTCGCCCCCTCAGCCCTCCATCCATCCCATACATTGGATAATTGAACATGTGCCGCTTAATGAAATTTCTTCTCGTCAGGCAAACGATATTGTCCATCGATACTCCACAATATCATGTAACATATATATATACTACCTACTATATATATTATATAATGAAAAGAAAACATTAGTGAAATTCAAAATAAACGACAGCATCTGATTTGAAACAATTGAATGCGTTGTGAATGAACATTCAAGGAGTACAAGTCCTCCACTTAAACTGTATGTTTGTGAGGTGAGCGGTAGAGAGGGCTCCTAAGAGATGTTGAGAGGCAGTGAGAGCCAGCGATTGCTATCATTGTCATATCACAATAGTAGTTTGATGAAAACATTCTGTTAGTTCCCGCGGTCACGTACGACCCGCTGTTTGATAATGTTATACTACATTATATATACGTGGATGCGATTCCGTTTGTGTGTATAGAGGTGTTGTTCTCTTTAAATTCATCGGTTATTTAAGCTTAGTAATATAATGAGGGAGTGCGTTCGATTCTGGCAAGTACCAGTGTGATTTTTCCGAGTCATATGTACTTTCTAACAGTATTTAGACACCGTTGGCTGATGAAGGAAAACATCGTGAGGAAACCTGGATTATAATTTCAGTTATAAGTTTGAAATCACCAACCCGTCTTGAGCGAGCGTGGTGATTAATGCTCAAACCTTCTTCAAGTGAGAAGAGGCTCAACAGTGGACTCTGATAGGCTGATGATGAATATAGTTCAGTATAATCACGTCACCTTTTTTAAGAACCTACTAACGATACGTACTATATATTATATCAATGTTTATTTTATTGATTCACTCTTTATTTATCTCGTGGCCGGTCAGAGTCGGAGCCAACGCGCGTGTTCTGTGACCGGAAACTGTTATGCTCATTACAAACCCTTTCTATAATTCCACAGATTGTGTCTCTCGTTCGAGTCATTTAAATTGAATATTATTATTTTTCATTCCACAGTAGATAATTAAAAGGCGAGGTTCAAAGACATTTTTTATAATTCGTAGCAGATAAAATGTATCTTAGTATCTTTTGTATAACGCCTCAACTGTTCCATATTTTATTCTTTGTATTTTCTTAGTTTTCTTTATATGTACATACATGTAATAAACTTCATGCATAAAGTAATCAAAGTGTTCTAAGTGGGTCCATGTAAGGTCCGCAGGTAGAGGTCTTCATTATGTACATGAGTCATCAACTAGGAGTCATCTCCGCCCACAACCCTGATAAACAAATCAAAGTCATGTCGCTTGTGATCCCGACCTCACTACACTGACTGAATATATTAAAACGATATACATTGTTTTGTAAAATAATTATTCTCTTTAAATGTATTAATAATGTACAAATAAATATAATAAAGACGTCTCTGTTAAAGTGTTGACATTCACGAACAACATTAATATCTATAATGCTCGGGCCGGGGCCGGTGCCGGTGCCGGGGCCGGGGCCGGGAATCCATTTTCAATATGGTTTTCATATTCCACGGCCAGGTCCCGTATTAAAAGGTTAATAGTTCACATAAAACACGGTACAATAAAGAAGCTCGTTCCGCCGTCTCGCTCGCCCACACAGACGGACGGCTCTCGTTATTACACACATAAAGATCGGCCTTTCCTTGCATAATGACATGATGGATGGCGTCAGGTCTTCACTCCTCGTACGAGCGTCTCCTCGCCACAAATATCTCATTGAATCCTAAGCCAGCATTAAACGATGCCTGTAATACACGGACACGTTCTCCCACGCCGGCCGGGCCGCTGTAACGGATCGTTGTTGAACGATAAAAAACGACGCGCCGCCGTCGAAAGTTTTGTTTTCTGTTCGTTTTATAAAAAGTTCCCGTTACGGTCGAGTGCGTGTGTGTTTTAAATTTTAAAAAGGGGTGAGGAAATTTTAAACAAATTCGTTCGTAGAGATAATAGAGAACTGCGGTTGGCATGTTACGATGAACGGCTGCGGGACTTGTTCCACAGTTGAATATATTGTACTGTTCGGGTACAGCGATCTTATATTTAATGATTTGTGTAGTTTTAAGGTGTCGGGGTCAACGACCGCTCCTCCGGGCCGGCTGGGTCCGTGGAGCGAGGAGTCATTGTAATTAAGTTCTTCGTACCTAAGATTCGCACACGAAAGAGTTTTAGCGGAGTCAGCAAAATAACAAAGTCTCGCAAAGTTATTTCTTTCAATTGGGATTTATGATTTCATTCTAATTTAAACTTAAATGCTAGTTGAGAGTTTTAAATGAGCGAGCTCTTTCTTTCAAATTCTTCTCCCGAGATGTGTTAAAAATCTTTTATTAAAATTCGTTCAGAGGTGGGCATCGCCCGAGTGGTTGCTTTGAAAAAAATAGCAGTTTAATATGAAAATTGGAGGTCTTTTATATAAATTAAAATCCTTTCAATGATGTGATAAAAATAAAGGAGTAAACGTGGTCGGTAGGGGCGCGGGGGCTGAGCTGTTCGTGCCTGGAATAAATTTCTTCAAAGGGATCGTTTTCAATTTCATGGCTCAATCTTCGAAATCTCTGTGAGAATATGTAAAAGGGGCATTTGTCGTGTCAACACGGCGTAATGAGACGAGCGTTAACTCCGACCAGTTGTTACACCTGGTCTACTGGAATCATTGTAAGGTGTTAGACCTGGATACTTTATGATCATTAAACACATTTGTAATGTTAAACTTGATTCGTAGAGTCGAGTATTAGAAATATGGATCGAACCTTAAGAGATTAAAAGTTCATTTGAAAACATTGGTATGGAGATAAGTTACATTGAAAAATGAATAATTAAATCTACATCACTGACGAATCAGTAGATTAATTACTAATAAGAAACTCCTTATTTTTCTCTCGTTCTATAAACAACAACATTATTACTATTCTTAAAAATGGTTATAAATATCTAAAATGTCTTCTCGTCTCTACTACGCGATGTATTTTTGTTGTGTTTTAACTAAAAATTTTATGAGAAACTGATGACAACTGAAAAATAACTAACTGCTCTGAAGAGTTACTTACTGGATGTACTTGGTTAATGATTAATTTTAAGATTCCATTTCATTTCTATACAATCTATAATTCAAATGATGATGTTTTTTATATTGGATCAATAAAATTAATTGTTACAATACAAAATGAAAAAGAAAACTATTAATATATTTTACACAATGTTATATAAAATGATTGAAACATTGAAATCATCGGAGCGGTGACACGTTCACAAATAAAATCAATATAATATTAAACACAAGGACTAATTGTATTTATCAGCTCCGATGACTTTATTATAATATATATATTTCAATAAACACGACGAGAGCCATCATGGACAATAGTTATTTCTTCTATACAACTAATTATATAGGGTGGCAACCGGAGGTTCCAGGAAAACTAAAAAACATATTTACATGTATATTGTAATGAGAATAACATATTAAAACTTATAACCTACACCTAAGACTACATGATTGTCCCGATGTTAGGACAGCAATACCATTCCATAGCTTGTGTGTATCAGGAATCTTCTGGTTCACACGGCTTGGTGTTCGTTCCGCGGAGTCAGCGGCGTCACTCGTTATATGATATATTACCGATACAAAGATGTCGAATGGCGATGTTCATTTTTTTTCTTCATATGTAGCGCGTACGTAACAAACTCCTACATATATTGATGTTCTGAAACATCAATACGAGGTAGTTCAGGATCGTTCATAGGTTGTTTTAAACGTAGGTACAGTATGTATTGTTAAATAATCTTTTCTTAGGAGATATTAGCTCTTAAATGTATCATACCTACTTCAAATATCAATGGACCGAAAGATATATTCGTGCACACAGATCAATAACGAAAACTTGTTGGTTCGGACTGAAAAACAAACCCTCAACCAAAAGAATGTATGCCACGAATATTGATTTTATAATCTTTTAATTTCAATTAAAAGGTTCAATATTTTTGTTTTAGTTTTACGAAGCAAGGCACTATAATTGTTTTTATTGAATGTAATATATTTTCGGCGGCGCATGTGCCTTCAAAGTCCCAAATCGAAATGTGCCAATCTTTACCTTTGACATCGGAGTTCTCGCTATTGTGAATTGTTTCAGCGAGCGTTGTGCCATTGGAGGAGTAATAACGTTTGTTCAAGAAATTCAAACGTGAAACTATTGCAGCACTCCCGCTGAGACTCGACCCTGAACCCTCACCTACCTACACACATACACACACACAAATACATACCTACCTACCCACTATACAGAGCTAGTCGCGACTCTCATTTTATAACACAGTTATCGTACGTTCTGTTAAGGGATGATTGACGTTAGTTAAATGTAATGGACGTCTAAATATAAACGGTCGCAGGTGGGAATCTCATTATACGTGACACATACATGCCGACGAGCGGCGACGAGTGGTGACGCGGACTGGACCGAATTAATTGTAGCCGCGATGCATGCACGTTAGAATATATACGAACGATCAAAATAGGAAATGGTATTATAATAAAAGCTTCTAAAAGCGTCGCGTCCCTCTGTTTGTTTTAGAATTCGAGTCGAGTATCTCAATCCGGGCGGGAGATCCGTCTCTGTAGACTAAACGAAGATGTTAGGAGCGTAATGAAGGTCACGGGAAGCGGGTCGGGATGAAATGAGCTTTGACAACGAACGAATGTCATCCACTAGAAAGGGCTTCTGTTGATGAAGCCGTGTTCGACACGAGCCGGGTAGGGGGGAGGGGCGGAGGGGGGGGGGGGGGGGTGCGGTCGTGTTGCGGCCCTTCTGATTACACAATGTTGGCTTTCATCCCTTGTGAGAGTCGCGCTCCGGAAATCTTTTGTGATTCGTGTTCGGTTATTGTGGCGCGGCATACTAATACGAGGTGCACCGGAGCGGTGAGGAGAGGTGACGCCGCCGCACTCACCTCCGTCATTAAATATTTGACGAACGCACATCGCGACCTCACGCGCGCCGCGCCGATGATGACTCGGTCCAAACATGTTCCTACATGAGTATTATGACTTGTTAATAATGTCACACTTTACGGTGTAGGTGACGTATCAAATCTGAAACACGAAACAACTCGTGGGGTCGGAAGGGAGGCTGGGATCTGCTAAATGAATTTGTTCCGCCTCTCGGCTTTATCATGTAGTGGACACAGCGTACAAAACACACAGACTTTGTTTACACAGATTTCACATTTAATATAAATACTACTTATTGAAAAGTTTTATAATAATACTTGTAGAGTAATCGTGATAGTACCTACCGTGTGTATCGAGACGGGAGCGAATCCTTTCGGAGAGTGTCCGCAGCGATAAGAATACGTAAGAACATAAAAATAAAAGTTTACATGAGAAGGGAACGGGGACAATGTTAAAGAATAATATTTGAGATTCCGTTTTATTTGACTGCGGACCCTCGCCAAATGGAGACTGAGATTTCTCGAGATGATACCATCAAACATTTATGGAGTACCTTCATAAAAGGACAATACTGGAGCACTGTTTCAATGAGTGTTAGGCGTGCGAACGAGCCTCTCCGCGCGCCCCTACATAAAACATCATGTCGCCGATATTGATACGACGGAGGGGGACGTACAGACATAAATACTATACATTAAATATTATTAGAAGGTATTGTTTCATGTTTCTTTCTCACAGTTGACTCGTCGTTAGTAGGACACACATCTCTCGTCTCGGGAGTGTAACAGCCGACGCGTCATAATATAACAAACATGACCTCTGAATATTAAAGTTCGTTTACAACGCTCCATACTTTTTCGTCTTTGTCAATCGTTCATAGAATATTTATCGGCTGTTTGGAAGATCACAAAGAAATTCCATTTTGGGGCAAAATGTGCAAATAGTTCGACGTTCGAATTTCCCCTGTGTAAATGTTATTACAGTAGCGACTGTAGCGTGGCGTGGCGGATGAAACATACCACCTCCTACCACCCACCACCCACCACCTACACCTGACACCTACCACCTACCACGTCCTACGGTGCGCGGGCTCACTAACATTTAAATGAGACATTTGGTGTAACCATTATAACAGCGAGTCGCTGAAGGTCACGCTCATATTCAAACGACGTTTCTTTTCAAATGCTAGGCCGGCTCGATGTATTCTGCTCGTATTTGTTTTCATAATATAAAGTAACGTCCTCTAGATGATGTTCAGATGTAATTACATCAGCCAACATTAGTCTTCGTCAATGGAGTCTCCCTCACCTGGGTCCGAGCGGTCCGCGTCTTCAAACTTTCGGCTAAGTATGGAAACTTTCGTCTAAGCCTCAAAAAAATTTAATAAGTCTTTGATTGACGGTTCGTCATTTATATTTATAATACATCTTCATTCGAACGGTAAACAAAGCAATATTATTCTAACAGTATAGTACGATACATTGTAGTAGGTACAAATACGGCCGTCAGCGTCATCACATATTAAAATAATAAAATCCGTACAGACAAACAATGTGACAAGCTGCCTTCCATTCTCATAAATCCTAATGACCATCAACTATACAACGCTCTCTGGACTGTGACAAAAATAATATATTAAAAGGTGCGACCAACACCAAATGACACTTATTAAAGTATATCAACACACACCGGATACTTTTAAAATTAAAAATATACAATGAACAATGTATCGATAAGAGACTCGAGCCTTCGAAATGTCGTTCTACGATTGCTCTGCTTTTAAATTTGAATTTCAAGTAAAGTATTAGCACATAATGCTTCAATGTTAAATTACACAAACAGTAAAGTCCTTATGTTGTATTAAAAGGACTTTACTTGTATTATAGGAAATATTTTAAATGATTACTTTTTCTTTACAACACATTATATTGTAATTAATCACAGAAAATCTCCTCCCGTAGATTTTGATACGAATTTATTATCGACATTGTGAATATTTTCCACAACAAACGAATCTGGGATTAATATGAGAAATAAGTTACAAAGAAACCCTGTCTCATCTCCTTAGACACCTTAATATAGCATCGAAATGAAAAGTAAATGTTCACAAAAAAGTGTAATTTAACAATAATAAAGGCGGGTCTTTATAAAGACAACTCCTTGACTGAGAAAAAATACGACATACAAGAATAATAATAAGTATATGACCGTCTACATACAGACAAATGAATAATATCTAAGGAGTCACTAAGTAAGGAATGTATTGGACTCGCTTGAAATAGAACTCGCGACAATGATTTTTCGTTACAACAGCCGCGATGTTACATTCATAATGTCTTAATTGATGACGCAGTATTTCGTTAATGGCCCTCATAGAGTTGTTCCAGAGTCAGGTGTCTCTAATAGAGTTATTTGTCATTCCGTTCACCGAAATCTATTCATTTGTCACTCTGTTATTTATTTACAATTTCTTACTTCACTGACTCTGAATTATGTTAACATTTCACAGCTCTTAATTACAGGACGCTTTACACGACGCCATTTTGTTTGCACGCTACCGAAATCATAATGCAGTTTTAAATACAAAAATGTACCATTTAATTATTGTAGTTTGTAGGTTTCAATATGTTTTTAATATGATAATATGAAATGGTTATTCATATAATTATCGATCAAATAAATGATAGAGGTTGCAGCTGAATTAAAAGCAGAGTAAAGTTTTATGAGATTTAATGTGTTTAAACTTGACCTTTATTTATCTCAAGCGTTTCGTTGCCTCTATTTAATTGAAGGTATGAAACTCTTCAGTGTCGTCGCGTGTGTGTGCCGGTGTAGTGTATGTAGGGTGCTTAAATCAGCAGATGTTGTTTAAAGGCTAATTGTTTTATATTCTGTGTTTCTGTTTTTACGGTGAGAGGACATTCAGTTGAAGTAGTGCAGGTCGTTTGGTAACTTTTGTTCGGCGGCCACCATAACAAACACCTGCGACTAATCTACATAATGTGGACAAGTCGACCTCCAGCCACGAAACGGTTTTGTAAAAAACCTCTCATGTTGCATAATGTTTGTTATACTGCGATTATTATTTAGGTTTGAGGATGTCAGTGTGTTATATTTGTGTTTATAAAAAGTATTGAATTTGAAAGAATTGATGAGTTTGTGAAATGTTTCTATTGGAAGGAGAAATAAAACGGAGGGAGGAGAGCGGGGTGATGAAGATGTCGTTCACTAACTGAGACGGTTAAATAAAACTGCGCCGGGAGAATCGTAACAGTTAAAGTTGTGTCGATGGTTGACGAGAGTCATACGGAGAAGGAATAAGAGACGTTAGTCTGGTTTATTAATGTAAAGATTTAGGAAACTAACTGCAGTAAAACTTTGTAATGTAATAACAACTATTTATTTATATGCTTTAGTTGTTTACGCAATGTATTTTACAAACAAGATTTTACTCGTTCGAATCACTGAGTTCCGTGGACACAAATCAAGAAGGGTTCAAATATTTGACAGCCGATTGTCGTTGTTTATGGAGACTAAAAATGTGAAGAGAAACAAAAGTCGACGCGCCTTTTATGTTCGGCGAGGAACGACGAGAACAAATAGAACATAACTGGAGGGTGTTTTATTGTAGACTCGAATGTATGCAGCCCGCTGGAAGATATAACGAGCGACTTAAAACATTCACGGAATTATATCCTGTTTATGGGAAAGGTTACAGATAAAAGGTTACGACATTAATCCTTCGTTAACAATGAAACCTCAGAAGTGACGGAGCCCTAATGTTTACCAGCTGCGACGTTAAAAATGCCTGTTGCGGTTACAATTAGGGCGAGCGAGTAATTAGTGGAGCGAACAAGTAGCGGTCGCCCCTGCTGACGTCACACACCGCCAAGATTGATTACGAGCCTCCGGCCTGGGGCACACGAGGACAATACATGCAGCCCCCGGCTCACCGCGCACCGACGACATGCATCGAACTGTATTGAAACCATTACATGCACGACACACATCCTTGTTGTTTGTGTGGAAGAATACATTATAATATACACAGGAGTATCAATTGATTTATTAATAGAGCATCGATGTTCTTATACTTTAAACAAACTACAGGTTTTTTGATATTACTATCTATGACGATAGGAAATGAAATAAAACTTTAGATAATAAATAATGTAATTCTTAATATAACAAATAAAGTTATTATATAATGTCTATGTACATTAAGTTGTGTGTGTTATTATTTTGGTGGCTCGTGCTGTTTTATATAATTCGTTGTCGATTCATCACTCGCTGACGTCCAGCGGATCTAAAATATTAAATGTATACTTTCTATAATAACAGTACGGCACGTGGGACGCGCGGGACGCTCTCTGAACTATACACACGTTCAATATTCTATTTAATGAATATCTCTTCTATTCTATCAAAACTATAGCTGTATAAAGACCTCTCCATTATTTAACATGTCTATCAGTGTGGTAGGAATGTGTGGTCTCTGTGTTGGTCATCATCTACAGAGTTCTTGGTCGTCTTCCTCCACACTACACCTCCCGTCCGAGGGCGCCAGGAACAGCTTCCCCGAGCCACAAGCACACAGCTGGTACACCTTCTTCCTCATGTTCTTAGCGGGACTGTCTGCGACTTTGGCTTCCTTTAGATTGCTTATTATGATGTTTGGAGCGTCGATCTTAATCTGTACAAGTGAATGGAGAAATTAATATAATTACAGATGTGTGGTATATATTAGTACATTGTGAGTGATGACATCATGTTAGTAACTCACCGCTCCGACCACTGAGTCTAGCTGTATGTTGCTGTGTGACGTGATGTCGATACTCCCCGCTCTACTCTCCAGGTGGATGGACTGCGGGGCTCGCAGGTCGAGCCGCCTCGTCAGTGACTCCAACCTAACGTAAGAATGTGCTTTTAATATCTTACATTATACCAATTGATTCATTACATATATAAAATTTTGGATACTTATTATAAAAATATGTGTTTTTTTCACAGGAATTAAAAATGTATTGAGAAGAAGAAGTTGAAATTTGGGGAAGAGAAACACATAAAGGACGAAAGGTTTAAACGAAGAGATAGAGATAGTTAATGTGTACTGACTGTAAGTCTGCAGCGGGCGGTGCTCGTACTGCCGGTGTCTGTAGGGCTCCCCTCACGGCCAGCCCGCCCGCGCCGGTCACGGACAGAGTCTCCGAGGACACCCGCACCTCCTCACGAGACGCGTGGAACACCTCCTCACCGCGAGCGTCCCTCACGTGGAACGAACGGCCACTGCACTCCAGGCTGTCTCGTTCTATACATACACACAGACAGACACATTATCCATCATCGACTGTTCTATTAAAGGAACTTTCAGTGAGGTTGTACTAACTCAAGAATAGTTTTGATGCTTCCTTGTGATTCTCATCGGACACTAAGATAGTGAAATTGCGATATGAGTGTAGAGTGAGCGGTTGACCCGCTTGTGAGGACAGCGTGGAGGCGATCAGGTTGTCGAGGAACCAAGCCTGTCCATCCAGACGGATCCCCTCCCTGATGATAGTGATCGGTCCTATACCTCTCTGGAAACGGTCATATGCGGTATAAACACTGTTGATGAGCTTTCACTACACACAAAACATAGTAATGAACTCACCGCGCTCAGTTTCAATGTACTTATAATCCACAACGTCAAAGCGATGTTAAGAAATACGAGTATGATGAGGAACACTATGATTCCGTACAGCGCGTTCCGTCTCCATCCTCGTGTGACGGCAGGTGGTAGACAGCCGGGTGGTGATGTAGTGACAGTGGTGGAGGTGGTCACAGCAGCCGGGGGAGGCTCCCCGGGGGGTGTACAGCCCCAACCACGGATACCTTCACTGTTGGCATCCTCAACCTTCATATTGGGTTCGCCTTTTTAACCTGTCTGGAATGATAAGATTGGCTGAAAATAAATGGTATGTTTTGGATTAGAAATAATTATTCAACTAAATAATTTTAAACTGAAGAACAATTCCAATATGATTTGTAAAATATTTAGAATGAACCTTTGAAAATATTCAACAATGTTTACAGAATAATTCGAATGATATTAATGGAATAAAAAACTGCTGCATTGTTTTACTCGCTGACAAAAGAAAAACAAAAACGGAACTCTGAAGCGCGGAGAAATAGTTTTTAGAATTTTTAATATATGGAGGCGATTTAGAAATGTATTCTGTATAGACACAGAGAGAGAGGTTTATAGATGTGTGTTGGTTTTATTTGTTACGGATTGTACAAATGGTAAGTAATGGGAAACCGATAGTCAGAGCTCGGAGCGGGCTGTGGTCGGAGAGAGAAGGTTAGCTGTCGAGGGTCGAGGGTCACGACACTCATGACATGTAACTATTTATAAACTGCATTTAACAACATGTTTAACACGTTTTATATGAAGATTATTAAAACAATTATGAAATGATTCATTAGAAGTGCAGTCTATTTTCGGGTAATGTGGTATTTGAAGAGTTGATTCCTTTTATTTCTTTTATTATTCGAACTTTGTTTTATCAATTACAATGATATTAAAATTATACTATATTTATTGTGAAGGTATATTTTCTTTAATTTCGACACTTTGCTGGACTAATTTGCATAAAATTTAATGATTGCAATGACATTTTGGATCAATACCATAATGCATAGATTAATAATATATTTTATTTCCTTGATAAACAGTAAGTCACGATCTAAAATATGAATTGGGTGGTACAATAAAATATTGAACATAATAATGTTCTACATATTACCCGTTCACTCGCTGCCGGTGTTCACTCAGTTCAAATATTCTTGATTTCTATAAACCGCATCGTATTTCTGTCGTGTTTTAAAGCGTCACAAGTCCAGGTAGTCGTAGTGTTATGTAAGTAGTTCCGTGCAGCCTTCAGACAGCACGACCTGTTACTGAAAAGTCTGCTTCTAAAAACAATTGTAAATAAAGAAAACTTAAAGCGAGAGAGTTGTACTAATGAAGAGCGCGCCGCGGTAAACGTACAACGACTAATGAATGCTCGCAACCTGCCCTCGGAAAAACTCAGCTCAAACACCAAGCACCGTTAATAATATTGTACAAGGCGAACGAAATACTATTTAACAGATGCCATTTAACAGAAAACGCCTTTCAGTGTTTACTTTGAAAATATATATAATACTTAAACATAGTTTACTTCATAAAATACGAGTATATCTAACTTTATAGTTAGGTTGAAGTAAGGAGAAAGTAAAAGGAGTACGTTGGCTGTAAGAAGATATATTTTGTAGAAGTTATGTTAGCGTCAACATTGATAAGAAATATTGTTTTGTAAGTTTGAATTATTTAAAGTCGTTATATTTATGTAATAAAATAATAAGTAATAGATTGATCAAGACCAGAATGTTCTCAATGATTTTTGGTTTTAGTTTTCGGTGTCTTAATCTTTATTAGCAGATTGTATTGCGGCCAGCTCCGCGCCGGGCCGACCTCTGGGAGTGAGCTCTCCTGGACAGATGACGACCGTTTTATGAACATATCAAGTTTTTTATTTATCTGAAAACTGTGAATTAATATCGGTGGCTGTAATGCACTTTTCGTGTCCTGAATATTTAAGAGGCTTGCATATTTATGTTGAACGGGTAAAAATGAATAACGGCGGACGATGCTTCCTCTTTATTCACAAGTTAATTTTATATATGTATGTGTGCCTTTTAGTTTATTTATAAACAAATCAATATATATATTTATATGAGTGTGTGTGTGTGTGTGTTTGTATGAGTGATGTTGTATGTTATAAAGCGTCAAACGTGACCTGACCTACATTAATGTAAATCATAATTTCTCTTGAAAAGAATGTGACAACAAACTCTGTACTGTGATACCTAATTATAATAATTGCTCTCTACGAACAGCGAGCTCATGAAACAGACGCGATGTTAAATATAACAAATAATGTTAATGTTTTATTATTATACATATAAATAGTAAAATATAAAAGTAGTATGTCTGTCTGTCACTAGCTTAATATCGGAACTCCTGCCTTCAAACGTCAGGTGAACAAGTTCCACAACTTTAATGACGAACTCGTCTCCGGCTTCTGTTCTATTTCGGAAGGAAGGCGAGCGATTCTATTTCCAATGGTTTTAGATTCAATAAACTTTGCTGTATGTACTGTTAGTACTCGTGTCTTAAAATATATTAGTATTGGAAATGTTATAACAGAGACAGAGTGTTATATTATAATAGTTCAAGGGGTCGTGTGTGTGTGTGTGTGTGTGTGTGTGTGTGTGTGTGTGGACTTACTTCCAGGAGGCGTGTGTGTGTGTATGTCGGTCAGTCGGCTCCGTGGCCGGCCTTTGTTGTTAAAGCTGTTCACGTCATACAATGGCCGACACTTCAAACGTACGATGCACCTTTACTTCAATCCGATAATTTTCACTCGATATCAATTTCTTTAAACCTTTAATATCACTTTTAACACAGTTTTCTCTCAGCCGGGGAATATTTCATAAACATAGCTTATTTTAGGAGCGTTTGAAACTAATTTATAGTTATTATCTGCCCGGCGTCACTGTAAACCTTCACTTTGACCTAGTTACATAGAGTTATTGTATCACTGTGTACTGTTCGTGCGGGCAGTCTTTTACAACTATGAATGAAGTACGAAGCAGACGGCTGTAGCGGCGAGTGGTGTCCCTGAGACTAGATGAATTCACAGGTGCTAGAAAACTCTCTGGAAATATGTGACGCGCGGCGACGAGCGTGCTCCAGAATAAGATATGAGAGGGCGAGCTGACCGAGCGACTCCCGCGCGGGTCACTAGCGTATGAGCAGCCTTCCTCCCGCTGTACCACGAGGTACGAGAACGACCAGCAAGGTACGGAAGGGTACCGGGCCGGAATAGAACTGGAACGGACGTTAGTGAGCCGTTAACATAAATAAAACACCGACAACGTCTAACCCGAGATGCTAGTCCGCGTTATGAATCGCGCGATCGATCCCACGTCGATGGATATAAATAAATGTCCCGCATCTTGATACAGCGGCGGGCGGATGCATCCACAGTAGCGAGGCGGAGGCCCGGGCCGGCGGCGCAGGCCGGGGCTCCAGTGTTCAGGACCGGCCGGGCCCGGGTCCCGCTGCTGACTGAGCTCGTGCGCCAGCGACGGCCGCCGCTTCGTTTTGAAGTGCTGCATTTTTAACGAGCCGCTGTCTCGGGCGGGACATAACTCGCCCGTGTTCTACATGCAGCTGAGCCGTCTCTCTATTATGAATTCCAGTTAACGCTATCATTGAGCGCCACCTCCGAGCCGGGCCGTTAATATTTAATTAGTCCGTGATGAGCCGCTGCTTATTACTTTGAAATATCTGGCGGGTCTTTATTACATTTTTGTCCGTTCGTTAATAAAACTGGTTTTGCGGAACTAAATTTTAATAAGAGTTAGCTCAATATTAAATCTATATAAAGGTTTTAATATAGCCGGAGCCGTGTTATAACAGCCCGTAGCGTCGTTCCGTTCTGTCCGTGTGCTACTCTCTGTCATAGTTGACCTCTCCCTGCTCGTGATCTCAATTTAGAGACTGTCTGTCTCTTGTTCATATTTTTTTAAATCGTTTGTGAACGTTTTCTTTTATATTGAAGTTGTTCTTATTCTTATTCTTATTCTATTTTTTTACGATGTTCATATTATGTGTTTTAGTCGTCAGTGGCGCCACCTGTGTGTCGTTGCTGTCGTTACTTCAGAGACACAGCGCCGGATAGCTTTCCTCTGTATGAATTAGTAATAATGTTATATTGAGCTAGTGAACCAGTCGGTGGAGATAACGCGATACACACGGACATACACACACACGGACACACGGACACATCGGCTGGGAATGAAAAGAAACACTATGTTAGATAGTATCGGTAATAATAAGAAGTAGATGGACTTAAGATGGCTCTGATTTCCTTTGTTCAAAACATTAATAATATGTTTATTTAATACATAGTTTCAACCGATCTCGATGTCGCCGCTGCCTGTTTATTTATTTGAACAGACAAATAGAGAGTCGGAATATTTCATGATGCAAAGAAAAGCCACGTTTACATTCCACGGATGAATAAATTATCATTTTATATAAATCCATTCGAAGTGCTAATTACGTTTCATTAAAATTATACGTTCATCTGTTGTAATCTTTTAATGAAAATGCCTTTTTTGTTCGTATTGAAAAAATATATTATAGTTTATTTTTATCAATTGGATTCTTGTCAGTCAATATGATTATAAATACAAATCGAGAAGAATATAGAGAAGAATATCTTGAGTTCAAATCATTATCCGACGGAACAGTCTGTGTGTGTGTGTGTGTGTGTGTGTGTGTGTGTGTATCTTTCTGTGTGTGTGTGTGTTTGTTGTCATCCTCTCTATGAAACAGTGTACACCGTACATTCAATGTATTGTATCAATGTATATTTCTGGGAGAGTTTCATTATCATCCCTATTTTCAGTTAGTTTTAAAGTATACGTCAGTTCCTGTGAGGTGATATTAAAATTTTTATTTGCTACAAGAGTGTAGTATGTATAATCAAACATCGAAGATATCATTGTAACGTATATTTTTCTGCGTCACGTTTCGTAGGGCCCCTCAGTGACGTCATTAGTCGCTGAGTGCGGGCGTGTGTTTCTCGTTTAATTCAGGCACTGCCGGGTGTCGGAGGTTGAGTCGCGAGGTGTCAGGAGACCAGCCCCCGATCACGGGCGACAGACGTGACACTGCATAATGCGGCTCTCACACACTAAACCGATCGATTTAAGAAAAATCTCTAACAAACCATCGTCACTGATCCTTATCACACTCACTGATAACAAAGAACAAAGGATTCATTATATAATGGTTGTGTGTCGTTCTGTGTCGTTCTGTGTCGGAGGCCGCGCCGTGTCTGATGTGTGTCACAGTAATTAGTCATAATGAACACCAATCACTGATTTGTGATATTAATGAGACGTATGAATATTCAAATGAATCCAATTGAACAATGAAATGTGCGTCCAATAAATAAATAAATACAATTAAAAACAATCATTAATGTTATTGTGATTATCACAAAATATTAATATAATACTATATATTTAGCGAGCTGGTACCCGCAGCCGGTCCTCGATGTATTCTAATATGTCCGAAGCCCAAAAACTTTAAATTTGTCACGTAGGTGAGAGTACATCCCTCCTCAAAACACTGTTACAACGTCTCCTTTCTACTTATATTATAATTTTCTTTACACATTTTAAATATAAATATCTTAAACATTGTATGTAATTAGCTATCTACAAAGTAAAATAATTTGTGACAAAACGTTTTTGTTAAAGTCTAACACAAAAAGATGGGAACTTTGCTATATAATTAAATAATGTTAGTCGATTTTTATGAAGAATCATAATATTTAAACTGACAGACGGTGAAGGAGAAAATCGTGAGGAACCTGGACTTATAATTTCACAATTATAAGTTTGAAATCATCAACCCGTCTTGAGCAAGCGTGGTGATTAATGTTCAAACCTTCTCTATGTAACAAGAGACCTTTGCTAAGCAGTGGGCTCTGATAGGATGATGATTAAATAATTCAACGATTTAGTTTGCTCATCGCCGACTCTCGATGTATACAAGAATAAATCCTTATACTAGTAAAACATTTAAAGATTCTGTGACATGTTCATATAAACGACTACAAATTTCTATTGAAATAAAATCAATTATTATTATCAACAGCTTCAACACGACCCGCTGTCTCTTATAATGATACTATGGAGATGACTGTTCATATTGACAAAACTTCGTATTGAGTTTACATTTGAGGACAAAGAATTCAGACAAAAATCTATCTATAGAAAGTCATGTTAGTTACTCTATTTATAGCTTAACTATTGAAAATTTGAGAGGAGACAGGTTGAAATCAGGAAGCGGAAATAGAATACTTTTGAATCCGTTCAAACACAAAAATTGCTAATAATACCCAAAATCTATTTATTTACTACCTCTAAATCGAAATAGTTCGCCTGGTCAGCTATACATTTCTAAAATAATGAAACTAACGCGGACAGGTTCGCGAGCAAAAGACAGTTCTTTATAAATGAATTAGATGAAAGGCTTAAGTTTAAAATTAAATTCAAGTTCAAGTTTAAAATAAAATTAAGTTTACTGTGGCGGAGACCGCACTCATTATTTCATGAAGACATATAGGTAGAGAATTAGCTTTTAGTAATCTTGAAACTTTTTAAAAGAGAACACAATGACTATAGTTGGAATAAACTAGATTAAAGAACAAAAGTGTGTGAAACATCAGATTGATATTGAATGTGTTGAACACACATCGTCGGGTATAAATCCTGTGACTGACTTCTAAGATAATGTTTATTATAAGAGGCGTCGGAAATCAGGAGGTCGCTCGACCGGAGACAAGTTCATGTTCCGTGACGTTACAAAATTGAAAATTTCTCACACATGAAAGTAAATGTTGGTCGCCTCGCACTGATATATAATTACAAAGATTCTTCTCACTGTAACAGGTGTCTGTAGAACAACTTATAATGATTGAGAATAATTTATAACGAATTTATAACTATTATTACTTTTTCCGAACCCTTCACTCGCTGTGATCGCAGGTTAAGTAATAGAATATATACTACTGAATGTAGATCAGAAGATATGAGATAGATCGTATCAGATACGTTTGTATTACATAAATAAATAAACAAATATATGTACTGTGAGCCTCGGTGAATAAACAGGTTCAAATTAGCATTTAACTACCGCTACAACTTTAGAGAAGCTTCATTTCGTCCTCTAGGAGTGTTTTCTATCGCACACACACACACAGAGTGTTCACAGTCCCGATGCATGCGATGCCGATAGTATTTTTGGGTGGTGTTGTGTGCCGGCTAGTGCTGCGGCGCGATCCTTGTTTAAATCCGTATGAAATATTGATACAGTTCGCTGTAAACGTGTAACAAATGCGGTAATTCAAGCCACCTGCCGGCGCAGCCACCACTCACTACCACCACCCCCCACCTCACCTCACCTCCGAAACACTTCCACATAACACTTACACGACTGTTGTCAATATAAAAATGTTTTGATTTGTTCATATTTAAATATATCATATGAAGGCGATGAGAAACGACTTTCAATACAAACATACGATGTCATAATACATATATAGAAAAAACTTGTTTAAGATTATTGAGATTTTAATATGATTTAAAATAATTGCAATGAAAAGTGTTATGTTTATTATAAAGACGCCAACTATTTCTTTAATGTAGTAATGAGAGCAGTTGGCTCATTGACTGTGATCCGCTTAACTTTAATGAAAGAAAGACTTTGAACTGGATGATAAAAAACCAAAAGTTAATAAAAAAAACTATATGGTATTAGGAAATAATCTATGATAAGAAAAGACGCATGAAAACAGTTGACAAGAAACATTGAAACAGTGAGAGTTGACTTACACGAGACTGAATTTAAAACTTATGTTTTATTTGTTGACACTTTTGAACTTGAATATTATTGAAAAAGTTTGTTTTTCTTTAATAATATTATAATACATATATGTGAGCGGGTCCGTGAGTCTCCGCGACCACAACACAAACTTTAATGCAACACGAACTTCTGACTCGACTTACGAGAGGAGGAGAGACGGGTCACGGTAACTAACGCTGAGCTTGGATTTATTTATAAGGATTTTGTTATTTTTATAAATATAAACAAAATTCACCTCGCACTGTTTAACTGTCCAGAGTAAAGGTTTGATTCCACTCAAAATAAATATCAAAAATCTCGGCAGTTTTTTTATTTATCTCATTAAGAAGTGGTTCAATAAACTACAATAAAACTAACTTGAACTCGTTTAAACTATAACCTTACAGAATATTGACTAGTTTAATTATAAAATATAATGAAAAGGTAATCACCAAAGATAATGTTTTATTTCATATTTATTTTGGAGATTATTTTAGTGTGTGTGTTGATTTAGGACTCACGTGATTGTCCCTCTCACTGATAGATTTTATTCTAACTTAGTATAGAAAATTATTCATATACTCACTCAATCAAGGTATACTCAAAAATATTTTATAACAAACCCTAATTCGACTTAAAATCGTTACAAATGATACGGTTCTGTCGAAACAATTACTTAAAGACGCGATGTCGCGATAAAGTTTTGAAATAAATGTGTAATAGAATTGTTACAGATTACATCGAGGGGCGAGTCCTCCGTGAACAAATAATTACTTAGAGGCACTATGAGTACAGTTTACAGCGCACTTAAAGAGATTTTCATATCTGTGTTCGATAACCATGAGGCCGAGGGGCGGAGCTGGAACAGTCCATCGGAGGGAGCAATCATCTAATGAATGCTTCCGGCAGATAAGCTTCGATTAAATGGTCTCTTTATTGCCGAAGAAAAGGCGAGTTCTCTCTATGAACACATCGATACACCCTCTGACGTGAGCCGGCCGCTAGCTACTACTCACTAGCCGCAGTGCTCTATAAAACGTCCAAGAGAGATAGGGGATCGGATCCACAATACGACGAATTAAAGTGTTCGATATCAGAAGCGAAATATCAATTACACTAATAAATTATTTCCGCTATAAAGACGCCGGCGAGCGGTTAGATCCGAGCACAAGATAGCGCGGTAGGTATAGCTGGGTGTATAGGTAGGTGAGGGTCTACAATTTATCGTCTGCATATCCTTTCAGCGCGAAGGTAATGACCGCAGTAAAACGTTTAAGCACGGAATAACTGCTGGGTACCGTTATTACAATATTATGAATTACTCGCACCGCGGCGCGGAGCCGTCTCGCCACCGCGCGCCACCACCCACCACCGCCCACCGCCACTGATACCCGGATATCTCACTAAATGTAACAGTTACTGACTTATCGCATCATTCATTCCGTTCACTATAAACATTGCAATCTTTATTTCTTTCCATCAAAGCTTTTAATAATTATTATTGTTAATATGACTGGTAATATTATGTGTGAGTATTCAGAACAGTAGTGAATCTGTCGTGACAACTACATTACGGGTTGAACTAAAATGAGTATGGAAGCTGCAAAATATTCTACGTACCGTGTTGTGTGGTGAGTGTAGTTTATCGGTGTAGTGTGAGTGGTAGGCTCTCCCCCTCAGGATGCTGGCTGTCTTTGCTGCGGGCTGCGAGTAATTAGCGAGGCTTTCCTTCCGCTCGCGCCGGCTCCATTCTCCCGGCCTCCTCCGCCACGAAGCAGACTGTTCCTAACATTATACACCGTCCTACATTATTACGATGAGGAAAATATAACACGACCTCGCGACCTCACAACCAAACGCCACATTATATCTGAACGTCGACCGTCAGCCTGGTTCATTAAATATTTTAATCAACGTTACATTATAGCAAGCGGCATGATCCCCTAAACCTAACCTAACCAATGTTCTATAACACTACACCGAACTGATATATATCATCTAAAGAGGTGCGATTCCGAGCAGCTTTATGTTGAGCATTTTAATTTAATTTATTTTAAAGACGCTCCGGGTGTTCATATTCAAATCGTCATCGCATTTTAAAATCCTCCTAATCCAACCAATTGTGAGAGTCTGTGAGCGGCTCACGGGGCGCGGGGCGCGGGGTGAGGCGGGCGAGGGACGCGGGTCGCTGTAATCAAGACGGCTTCAGCGGGATTTGATTCCGTACTCTTGTTTGGGCATCTCTTACCGTCACAAGCTAACCGTTGAACATGAAGAAATACTGTATTAGCGATATGTACGAAGAGTAATTAAAACAACACTCATATGTATACAGTCTTTAGAATTGCATTTAGCTGTAGGGCTGTGTGAATGTGTTGCGCATTTAAAAGAAACTCATTACAGGCGGCGAGCGGCGCGCGGCGCGGCCGAGAGGCGTCTTTGAAGGCCCGCCGCGCTCTGCGGTATTATTACAGATTATACCGGCTCCCATACAAATGAAATCTCGCTTAAACCACTGCAATTTCGGAACGAGAAAATAAGGCTCAGAAGTTGTTTCACTGTACTCGCACTCACCGGAAAGTCTTTACGAATGGAGAGGCGGCGAGTTTAGCTGGCAATGGAAATAAAAGGAACTTTACATTTTTAATTAATTGTTTATAAGATGATTAGTGGATGATGATAAATAATAAAGATACTTTGTTTTCTTGTTTAAGATGGACATGGGAACTGCTCATATGTTCCTTCTCAAGAAGTTTTATACCACATACCTCCTCTATATCGTTACAATGAACATATAACTTTCTTTTTGTATTTTCACCCCAAAACCTCAAAAACACTTACGACGGTATAAATGGAATTGAACTGCTATTAAAAAAAGTGTAAATTAGGATGGCACGGAAGTTTGAGGAGGCATTGCCTGTCTTTTTTAAGTATCACATCGTTCTTTTGTTTCGAACATAATAATTTTTCTTTGGGCTGCACTAAGAAAACTATTTTTTTTTATATAAAGTCAAACATGAAGTTATGAATAACACGATTATTTCAATGGGCCTCCCATACAATGCAATATACTACACATACAATTGATATCAAGTGTCTACCATCCATTATGAAAATCGGTATCATAAAATTTTTTGTGGTGGCATGACCGGCCTTGTTACCTGAGAAGAAATCTGCGCAGTTGACGTAGGATATGTATAATATCGGATATGCTGCAGGAGATTGATAAAAGAATTAGTTACAGTCAGGGAATTGCACCAGTTCCACTTTTACAAAGTATAAACCTCGTAGAGTTAATGAATGTAACTACTGCACCACTTTGAATACTTATTGATGCCGAGTCGTCTAGATGAAAGAAAATTCATTTTACTTATATTGATAAATAAATCTATATATAAAGGAAAGTTGTTTTAATTACATTATTTATAACTCAAGAATGGCTGTACGGATATGGTTGACAATTTATGGAGATATAGCTTAGAACCAGGAGTTGAACGGAGGATATTTAATTTATTTCAATCGAAACAGAATAAAATACCTAATGAATTCCAATATGTGGTTATTTACGGCCTTTATGTCAGAATAGAGGTCGCTTGGTCAGCTATACATGTAATACTAATTCCGAAATTAACACAGACGAAGTTACGGGGAAAAACTATTATAAAAATATAGGAGACGTATCAGTGGTAAGTCCAACAATTAGTAGCTCACAATTATAAGAATATTGGAGTGTTTCCTCTGTGTGAGTCGTGAATGTTAAGTATGGACATGTTGCCGGCTCCTGGCTCCAACTCCTCTACTTGGAGATGAGATCGCTATTTGTCAGCCGTGATCGCTCGCCTTGATTAAACGTGAACCGTTTAGCACACGGGCGCTGGAGCGGTTCATCACTATAACATTAACATAACATTTATATCGGCTACGAACACCTCCACAATATAATGATATGCCCCGACATTACACACCTACCTACACAAGAAGAATGAACACAACGAATTGACTTCACTAAATGAATTATTATATTACTAATCTTGCGTACGTATTTTTCATCAAATATAATTTTCTTCAACGATATTAATTTTTACAAAATTTATACTCAATAAAACAGTTATATTTAAAAATATTTTTATTATTTCTTTATTTTTTTCTTAACTGATATTTATAACGCGGAGACGAAAAGTTGTGTCATAATTGTGTTTAACTTTGATCTTTTCATAAAAGAACGTTCAAGTGATATATGTAACGTGTTCTCACGGAGACCGGGACCACTTTGTTGTGGTTTAGTTTGACATTTTAAAGAAGTTTCAAAATAAATATGAATCAGTCAGTAGCGGCGGTAGAGATGAATATTTTGAGTAATATTTTGGTGGCCGTAACTTAGTTTGGTCATTTTTTGAATGTGAAGCGGTTATTATATAGTGATTAGTGCGGATAAATGACGGACATTACTTGTAATGAATGTTTAGATGGTCGTAATCGGAGCGCGTAAACTGTCGACGCCATTACGGCACAGCTGCCGTTGCCGAGATATTGCCTCCGACAACGTTACGCTCCAACATTCATTTATTCCTTCGCGGTACATTTTTAGATGCTAAACGATGTTTTAAATGTAACTAAACCAGTTATATTACGGTTATGATAAATAATAAGTATACCCTTCACACAAGTCTGCTAGAAGAACGTCCATTGTAGCTTCTAGATATAATAGGTCATTTGAAATTAAGCAGAATATTTAAATCGACTTCCTGACGTATCTTCCGCCTGTGTTGAGTCTCAATAAGCAGGAGCCGTTATCGTTTAATAGTAGAAGGTGTGTCGACTCATCGCAGGACTCACAATTTCCTGCACTTAACAACATAGGAAGTAATTTTGACGACTCATCAAACGGCCGACACCGATTGACATCCCCGCGCCCGGAGTCAGCCTCGCTCCTGACGTCACACGAACACCCTCTAATGGCTGTCACACTACACACTCTTATTTACATATAAACATTGATTTCTACAAAGAATATATGTTGGTCGTTGACTTAGTGTTAGGTACATAAAGTTTGTGTGGGAGACGAGACGCTCCGAGCTGTAGGTGATGAAACTTGTTCAAGACGAATAAAATTACAAACGAGTAAGCTAAAACAAAAGTATTAATCGTGGTTGCCGGTTGATTCTCAGCGGATCCGCGGGCCCGGTGGGGGGTGTAGGGGGGGTGTAGGGGGGGGGGGTGCGCGACGTCCGTCATCAAAGTTTGTGAATGGCGACCATCTGCCGCTCGCTTTGTTCTCAGATTACCGTTCGGAAGTTCCTTTAATCGTTTTATTAATACGCCTCGAATCGTTTAACCGCATTCTACACCGACTCGATCGTTCATCCCTTCTGGTGTCATTAGGATGTTACACTTTTAAAACATGAACCGCTCCGCCAGCACTCCCGCGAGTTCTGACATGTCTTACTATCAATGTCAAGAATTAATGTAACACAATTCAATCGATGTCATTTATTTATTTACAACAAGCACACTTACAACATACATATTGAATATTTACAGTTAAAGTGACTATATTATAACATCAGATATGTACGTCAATGACAAGTGTACATAACATTTACTAACAATAATCAGTGCACGACTTAAAAAGTTTACATACTAATTTAAAGATAAAATAAAAATATTACGTAAAAATCACAAAATAACATAAAAAATATTACTATATAAACTTAGGAAAACTATAACTTAGAAAAAAAATTGTCAATAATTTTTTGTTTAAATACATAAAATGAATCACTAAATAGGTTGCTAGACTTGGTAATTATTTTGGAAATGTCATTATAAAATATAGCTAATTGCAGTACGGGAGACTGGGATCCAAGATTAGTTTTATTAGTTTCATCTATTTATAAGCCATTTCTTTCATTCGATTAGTAAATGATGACGAAAAACGAGATGTCTTAAGTATGAAGAAACGAAACATGATCAGCGTAAGACATTATGCAATGAAAAATGTTACATGAGACAAAATATATATACATACATATATGTATAGCAGGTTTAGTTTATAAAACAGAAGGCGGCAGCTTACATATTGTCGGTTGTAATGTAATTCATACCGGAGAGTTGATATTATCTGTTTATGAGGGCCAAGTGCCGCAGTAAGTTATGCTAAATTATTGGCAAACAAGCGTTAAATATTCCGAGCGAGTCCAAGGCAGGCGGCGGCGCAGGTTCCTCGCCCACCCACTTATTAGGGACCGTAAATAATAAATATGAAAGGCTCCTCGCTTTATTTACAGATACTACGTGTTTGACTCGCCCCCGGTCATGAATCGTCTGCAGAGCGCCGGCTACTTACCAGCGATTACCTGTAATGCACAAACAGCTCTCCGCCGCCTCAAATACTTAGTGTGTTTGTGTGTACACAGAGAGCCAATTAACGGGAACGAGCGAGGAGATTCGGCTCGAAAGAGCCACAAGTAGTCGGGAACAAAATGACTATTGCATATTACAATCATAGTTCGGAGCTTATCTCAAATGGAGGGAATCAAATTGTTAAAAATCCTCGCCTAGGTCAAGTGGAGCGTCATTCTCACTGATTGGATTATTCTCTGCTCGCTCGCTCGTGTTCTACTGAGAGCATCCTCGAAGCTGGTACGTTAAATTTTACGTGACCACTTCGAACGCAATCATATTATGATAATACCGACTTCAAATAATCCGCCTTAAATTCTTTAAATCTATTCCAAAGTATACTTAAACTTATATGATTGTTAAGAGACTATTTGATGTTTAAAGGTCTATAATATATTTTGTATATTTTTTAATAGTTTCTTGGTAAAGAAACTAAATATTGTCATTCATCTTATACGATAGACTGTTTTAATCAGGTCACAGTACACTCAATAAACTATGTATGGGTCAGTCATGTAGTTATGAAATATATAATAGAACGATCTGACTGGACAAACGTTTTAATATACATACATATAAAAATACATATATAAAATTTGGTAAATATCTGTAAAGCTGTTTCGGAGGAGTACGGTAACTAACATTGTGACTCCGAAATTATATAATATATTAGATATATGGAAAGTTTTCTTTTCATTCTATTTATGTTATATAAAATATTGTAAAGTAATTAATTATCAGATATTAGAGCATTTAGGAGTCACTAATAAATAATTATAATATTACAAATACTATAAATAAATAAATAATGCATAACACTTTTGACATGTTAAGGATTCCGTCAACTTATTTTCTGTAACTCAAATATGACTAATAAAATGTAATCCTTGGATTGTCTGCAAGCAAACAGAGAAGTTATAAGTTGTACATTTGTGAAGACAGATTCAAAGTCGCTCTAATAACTTTCCTGTTTAAACATTATAAACCGTATATTATATAACTCGAAATGATTTGGTTACATCTTTTAATCAAATTTATTTATTTAACGTCTTAATGACACCAAACAATTAAGAAATATTATTACAGAAAAAGATTAAAAGCTACAAATGCTGTGATATATTAAAGTCGGTCTCATTAGCAAATGGCGATCTGTTACAGACCACTTAAGATAGGAGAGTATTGACGTGGAATGTGATAAATACGAAACAAATATGATACAAAGTATGCATACATCTGAAATAAACTAATGTGTGCTTCATGCATAGACGAGACGAAACTTCTCAGCATTCCATGGATTCACGATGCGGGTGCCGGGTCCATCGCGTTGCAGGGAGAGGAGCTTCAACAGTGCCTGGGACTTATGGCCTAGATGTAGGTTTAAAGGGTCCCTATCTAACGCACGTTAAACGCTCACTTTCATCGTACAAGCTCCTCTCTCTATCAAATACTAATATAAATAGAGAAGTGCTGGAATTATCTTAATGAGAAGTTAAAAAATAGTTTCAACTGTTTATCGACTGGCTTTTCCAAAACCTTTAAAACAGAAGTTTGTATAAAAATAAGAACAAAAGCCTTGGAATTTACCTACGAGGACCCTCTGTTTAAGGCAAAGGAAGCGAGAGAGGTAAAAGAATTAAGAATATTAATTAATGGACTAATAATAACATGAAGGATAGTAATAACCACCATATGTGACATAATTACTGCCAGAACCGACTTCATTTGATGACAAGGAAAGTACGTTCTCTTAAACTGAACCACACGAACATTTTTCCACTGAACCTAATTCAGTGGAAACATGAAAAGTGAACGTCGTGGCTTGTGAAGCTGGTGACAGAACCTGGAGAGTGTTCACGTTTGATTGTATATGATACAGAGACAGTGTTATATTTTTGATGAAGTTGTTACGGCAAGCTATAACATTACCTTTAATCTTAGGAGGATATTAAGGAGGAGATAGATCACGATACAAAACGAGTCAACAGAACACTGACTTTGCTTTATAACAAAGTCAGCAGAAAAAACATAATTAAGTTTATCATTATGATAGGATGGTGAAAAAGAGATATATAAAAAAATGAAAGAGAAATATATATCTTGTTATTATTATAATAAAACTATGTTACCATTTTAAATAACTAGCTTTAACTGAAACCACTAACTGGTTAATACAGTAGTTGAAGACAAATTAATTTTATGTTTAATTGTATAAATAATATTATAAAATTAAATTATGGACATTTATTGCGTACAGATCTGAAAGAATAAGAAATGAGAAAAATTCATAAGAATAATGGTTTCCTAATTAGCTTATTTTTTTATTTCAATAGAATTTAGCGGCTTTGATTTGTTTCTAGATATATAATATATCTGTATAATCAATATGTATAATAAAATATAATTTGTTCTGTTTTGAGTGTATACTTATAAATGCATCACAAACGGTGTCGGAAATATTTAGAGAATGTTTAGATCCCATTGAGAGCGAGTCTGATGTTGTTCAATAGATGCAAGTAAGAGGCATTCGTTGTAGTGAGCTCGTGTGTGGCTAATATTAGGGTCAGTGTGATCCTCTTACGTCGCTGTACGGAGCCACGGGCCGCCACACTGTTCAGACTATATGTTTAATGTAATGTGATCTAACTCGATCTTTTTGTTTGTAATCATTGGTATTTATTGAACACGACTATCGACGATACACCACCCTCGTTCCTCATGTCTACACACACAGTGGCAGTCATCTCAACTGCTCATATAAAGCAGATAATATCTTTGGAGTATGTTGTAAGGCACACATCTCATTACACGTAACTTTGAAGAATTATGAGTTGGCAAAGTCCTTTATTGGAAATACCTCCACGGCTCTGAAATATTGCTATGTCGTGAAGAGGTAAATTTTCTAATTAGAAATTCTTTACCTAAGCTTTATTAAGTTTTTATGTTGTAGAATAAATCTAACTAGACGTTGTCTGTGTGTTCTAAACTTTATGAATGTTTTATTACTATCGTAACAAATAACTTTGTTGAAATATTATAGATTCATTGTAACATTTAATTGTAATATTTTCTTTATTTTGTTTTGTCTCGTCCAAAGTTTTATTCAAATGTTTTCCATTTATTGACTGATATACAATATGTGCAGTATCAGACCGGTCGTGCTGAGCTCGGCGCCGTCCATTAGCCCCAGGGTCAGGGGCCGCGTGCTGAATGTGGAATAACGACAGATGTTATGAGGCGGACAGTATCTAATGCTGAACCACCATTTATATGTAGGACTTGTTTGTCGCTGTCTGTTTGTGCCGGCGCGCTCTGAAGGCTTCTTCATTTTTATGTTATGACTGCAGCGGGGCCGCCGGGCGCACCCTCTGTTTGTCGTCGCCCGAATGTTTGTTTTCTAAACGTAAATACTGAAACGGTCCTTCGAAGGCGCGTCTCGGTCGTAACACACAATGCGTTATTATACATAGTTACAGAGGTCGAGCGGTGAACGGACAGTGATAGTTATGTGAATATCATTTGACTGTTCGACGTTTGCGAGTACATTAGGCGTCGCATCAAAACAATTACACCGGCCAGTTGACCGGTCGGCCAGCCAGTCACCTGCCAGTCGGCCAGTCGGCCAGTCAGCCAGTCGGTGGCCAATGAGCGTGTCGGCCGGTCGTGGGGGCCCTGTTTGAGGACGAGCGCCAGTTCCAGCTTGTTGTGTTCGTTGTTTCTATTAGATTTAACATCAACAGTTTTGTATATCTTTAATAAATACAGTTTTGTCATATAATATTTAAAGCTATTTTATTTCTCTCTTGTTATTCAGCCTGCGGTGTGCGTATGCACTACAAGTTGTACAATATTTTAACTGTTATATATAAAAAAAAACACTCTTAAGTATTCGAAGAACTGACACTAAAAGATTAACTTCACGATCATACAAATGCAATACGTACAAAAGAAAAGCGTTAATTATTTTTCAGTTTCATTAATAAAATGATTGATTTTTTTCTTCATTATACATGTTATATATGTACTGTCAATTGTTAATTAAATGATACAAGAGCGGGTTATATTCACTCCATAGAACAGCGTATTGCGAGCGAGTCCGGAGGGTAGTGGCTGTTGTATTTAAAACAGCAAGATGTTAAAGAAATGAAGGAAATAATTTATTTCTTTGTCTCGCCGCGCCGTATCGAGAGCACTTCGCCCTCCAGCCATCGTGTTATTAATCGAGCCAAAGCTGATTATTCCGTTGTTTCTAAGACTGTCTTTTAGAGTTTCCATTTCAGACGTAGTTCCTACTTCATTTAATACCGCATTGCCCTCGCGAAAATTTGATACAATTTGTCTCGGCTTTATCGTAATTGGTTTTATTTATTAACGCTGGAATATTTCATTAAGGGTTTTTTGAATTTTAAGGGTGCGTTTTAAAATTTATTATTCTCAATGTACACAGGGTCAATTTTAATTGGCTCTTATTGTATATATATACAACACGATAAATTTTCTCAAAGATTTATTCTGAAATAAAACAAAATTTGTAGGGAAAGATATAATTACTTTCTAATTTATTTATAGGAATAATTATTATAAAGGCACAGCCGAAATTGGTGGCATTTGAGTGCGGGCGGAGGCTCGCAGGGCGGAGGCCGGGGGGCGAAGGCCGGGGGGCTCACATAACAAGCGGCTTAGGAACCGACAGAGAGCCCGTCGCCCGTCCGTGTGGGCCGCTCTCTAGCCGATTTACAAGATCCGCTCTATCGCAACCGAACACGCTCTAACTATTCTCACTGTTTTAAACGAACACCATCCAGATATATCAGCTCTCGTGCGAGACCTACCTACATATGGGGGATTACTGTGATGTGTGTGATTGTGCATCGACAAACGTCCATTATATGTAGGATGCATTACATATTCACATCGATCTAATTAGTTAATGAGGTTGCTCTGTTTATATAACAGTTCAAGGGCGACTCTCGACTAATATCCGTCGTATTATGTGCGTACATGGCCGTCCCCTGTATATTTATCCGTGTTTCTGTACACTGTACACACGATTACTACATAAACGCCAATCGTCGGACTGTGAGCCGTGAGCCGTGAGCCGTGTGTCGGAGTCGTCATTTATTTCATAGCACGTCTGTAATTTGCATACGTTTGAATACTAACTACCGAGCCCCGAGCACCGAGCACCGAGTACCGGCGACGGCGCGTCACGGTTTGAAGCCACTTTAATTGAATAGCTCGATTTATGCTTATTAGTTTATTTTGTGTCACTGACTATCAATTGTACTATTATTGATCGTGTTCTCTACATACGGTCTGTCAAGCTCGGATCATTCAGTATTAATAAGAAGTCGACACAGACGTCCCGGGACACACACGAGCGGGAAGGAGGTGTACTCCGTGAGATCATTATACACTCACATTACATTCATTTCTTCATATCAAAACATCCAGAGACTAGTAGATGCAACTCAAAGCACTTCAAGTCGTCTATATCGTAGTCCTCGCGCGCATGACGTGTGATCGGTGCTTCAAATGAAATATATGTAGCGGGCTGAGAGGCTGAGATTGAAACGGCTCCCGTACGAGCATGTTAGTACGCATCGCCCGTGTCGCGGCCGTGTCGTGATCGTCTCGGCACGTCCCTCCAATTGTTTTCTGACGATACGTATCATTCCGGTGAAGCATATTTCACGATTCTCCAAATGGAGTACGTGCGGTGATGAGGTCTCGTAGCCGGTGACGTATATCAGCTCCAGGAGCGTCACGAGCCGCTGAAGATTCCATTTCGTAAATGGGAACGATCTACGAATTGCATCTTTAGTATTCATGAGAGCGGTTAACAGACCGAGCGACATTTGCAATTTTTGTTTCATTAAATATTCATATCGAACAGATTGTCGGGTATGAATGTTCGTATGATACTAGCACCCTCGCGGCCCGACATCCATCACGACCTGCGACAGATCACCTCCGCGGCGCTGATGACAGGAATTACCACATTCCTCAACATTACATCTTGACACTGACATCATATTACATTACAGACGTATAACATGGTAAAGTATGACTCGTATATGTATATATATCTTTCTGAGCCGATGCGGACGTCTCTGTAAAGTGTTATTCTGTTATAACTCATCGATCCATCAGTCAGCTAGTGGACAGCCCGCCGTCCTCTCTGACCGTGTGTGGTGGGATCGATCATTCCTAATACAATAACGTGCTCCAAACTCTTTGAAGCCGCACAAGTAGTAACTATTATCAAACTATCTAAACTTTTAATATTTCGTAAGTTCCTTCCTTTATCACACCGACGTTTTTTCTTATAATTAATTAAAACTTATTTATTTGTCAAATGAATTTTCTACACTCATGAGTATCGAGTAAAACTATTCTAGACTTTTGTGATTATATATTATAGTAATATTAGTTTAGTTCTTTGAGCTTCATTTATTACTAGAATGCCATGATACAACTCATCTCTGTTTAAAATTACACATACAACTATAGAGGCAATCAATTTTATTGTATTATTTGTCCAATACATACATACATACATACATTTGTCGGTCAGTCTCCCGTCGCCTCGTATACAGTCATAGAGAATATTCGACAACATCAAATCGGAATTCATTCTGTCGCTATTTAATTTTCCGTTGAAAATTTCTGTTGAAAAATAAGCGGGAACTTACGTAACTTCACCGAGAAATAATATAAATGTAGAATATACTATAACCACCATCTTCATATACTAAAACTACATTAAGTTTATTTAAACTAATAGTTTCATATTTAACAAAAAACAAAAATGTTTTATAGAATTTTCTTGTACTTTGTAAAATTTAACTCTTTCAAGACGGATTAAGTAATCACTTTAAGAAATAAAACAATTGAAAGTATATAATACAAACAATAGGTTGGTTTTGAACTTCTGATGACATCATAGATAATTGTATTATTAGTGGAATAAATAGTTCAAACATTACTTTAGCTTTCTCTCCCTCCGTCAGTGGTCATTATTATATGTACGTCTGACCAGGTACTCTGTTACACACAGATAATACAAACGTATTAATGATAATTATTAAAATTCAATAGAATTAAAGACTCCACTCAACTAAACTGTATTTTAACCAAATTAAACTTAATACCTTTACATATATACATATATATAAAACAAAGTTTGTTAGTATAACACTATTTATAACTCAAGAACTGCTGTAGGGATATGGTTGGAAATTAGTGATGAGATAGATTAGAACAAGGAGACGGACATAGGATATGTAATTATTTTAATTTAATATAACGACATATATTATTACATATTAACATTAGGAGACTGAACTTGTATGTAACATTTTTGCTCTGTGTGTTCAAAAAGTTCTGAAAAACTGAGCAGCGAGATATAATCGAAAGTAATAACTATGTATTTATATTGCAAATCACAAAGAAGAAGTAGTGGGCTAATTAATTATGAACGGTGAATACAAACATCTGACAACATTTCCTATATCTCGTTTCGGAAGAGAAAGTAAACATTTACTTTAACATAATTATATTTTGCTATTTTTTTAAGTTTAAGAAACGTACATATCTCACAGAGAACTCAACGATTATATATTGATATATTAGTTTAAACCAGTTTTTTGTCATGTGTTCCGTAAAACAAGTGCTCAGCTCTGACGAGTGGAAACTCAATAGTATAGAAGAGTGTAAAATTTACAAAAAATCTGTGTTCAAAATACAGACCTGATAAATCATTACTAAAGTTTCTTTAATGAATGATAATGAAATAAGTTTATGTGATGAAACATTTCCTCAATAAGAAACGGTGGTTATTGAAATTCAACACGGTTATATTAGTCAAAGATCTTGTCAACCCATTTAACTTGTCGATTTAAAAGCTGCGCATGAGAGTCGTTTAACTGACACATATGCTTCCTGGTTCAATGGTTCTGGTTCAATTGGTTCAATCGTTGATATCCCACCTCAGGGATGGTTCTCAAGCCGTCACTATAATAGAATCTTTATTCTTTATACAAATCGTTTCAGGTGACTCTTCTCAGTTCCCTAACTGTTTAAAATTAGTATTAACGACATAATCAGCTTCTTTATTTAATTAAATATTTTTTTTTATTTTGACTATACCATAATGTAAATTAGTTAAATCTATACCGAGACTTCATAAAATAAATCAATTCACATATTCATTACCTTACCACAATGTTTAACAAGTTACCTCCACAAAACATCTATGCGTATACTCTGACAGAAGATTGTCGGTAACAGAAGATTGTCTTTCAATGAAAATATCGAAAGGATTTCATTAGAATTTTATAGAAAATTAATATTCATTTATCGTGAACGAGTCTACTGCAAGAGTCTGTACAATTCTTACTTAACAAGATTCTCACTATCGATCGTGTTAGGAATAAAACCTGTAAATATATTAAAAATTAATATACACGTAGTATTAGTACATCAGCTCACTAAACGACTTTTCAATAACAATAGATGAAGGGTTCCTGTGTCAGGTTATTAACAATATAGATAATTTACGTGTTTCTTTAGTCATTTATCATATAATTGCCGCCTGTATTGTAGTCACTTAACAGTTTATCGCCTCGCTTTTGTATAACACACTATTATAATCAAAATATTATTACACGAATAAGTTGAAACATGGCTGCTTATTTTATGTTCAAAGACATGTCATTTGTGAAATGATTCCTGCGATGAAAAGATGTAACCGCGAAGGTACGAGACCTGCTTCCTGTAGAAGACGATCAGCTTGGGAATCAATCAACTAAGATTGAAGACCCTTTACGAAAATATGTTTTATGTTGAAACAGTAGGGATTTTTTGGGAATTATAGGCATACACATGTGTATTGATTGTTACGTCAATTTATTTACTACTACTACTACCTACTTTAGGAAAACATAAATAACAATAAAGGATTCATTAGATCCCTGTTCATCAAAATATATTAAAATAAAACTAAGTTATGTTTTAATGATTCCGTCTTCAACTCGTTGCTTCCTTCCTATGATTGTACAGGATTGAAATATAGATCTCTGTAAATATTAAAATCCTAGTGAAGTAATGTTTATAACGTGGAGAGCGGAGTAACAGAACATAAGTGGTCGTGTTGATGGATTTTATGCAATTTTCAGTATCTATCATATCCAAGCGTTCCAACCCCTTGGGATTAAGTTCGATCTTTTCGCAATACTTACAGGGTAAACAGCTTGAGCGCCTTCCACTACACCTGCCACCCCCTCGACCCCCATCGACACCCAGCGACCCCCGGCAACCCCCTCGCGAGCCCGGGAGACGCGTTCGACTGGAAACTATAACAACAACACAAATAATTACTGCACAAAAATGAGCCTCGGACTTACAACTGTTTGTGATACAAACATTATAACGTTTTATAAACAAAAAATAACCTTTGACAGCTTAGAACGAATGATTTATGTTAGTTAAAATTTGAAATATTTGGAAGTTCCTGAACTACTGTTAGGGAAGGCGTAAAATCCAATGAATTGATCATGAAGTCAAATGGGATGTTAAGATGCATGCGCTGGTGACACAGCAACAGAAATCCAGTACATAATACATGTATGAAGAGTGCTCCTCAGCATCTATAGATATCTTAGAGATTTGTTTTTTAATAGGATAATATTTTCATAGGAGAGCCTCGTCGTCGACGGCGATGGGACGGTACGAAGGATCGCGGCCGGAATAAGTTATTGCTCAGAAAAATAATTTTCAATTTGACGACTCAGTCTTAGAGAGCTGGTGGTGAATATGTAAAAAGGCAGATATACTTATTGGTCCCCTTTCGTGTTATGTGTGATGCATCATGTGTTAAGTGTGGCATGTGTTGTGTGATGTGTGGCTAGTACTGTGTGATATGTGATGTATGTTATACCTTGAGTGACGTGTGATGGAACGTGAAGTCACTTGTCATATGTTTCCTCTGCTGCCTTATATGTGATGTGTTATGTCCGGCGTGTCATGTTAATGCGTGATACGAGTATGTGGCGTCCGATACGTGTAGTACGAGTATCATATGTATTGTGTGATATGTGATGTGTAACTTGTCAGGTGTGATGATTGACTAGTACAGTTCGTTTTGTGATGTATCATTCAGTACGAGTTTTACTGTTTGCTGACCTCCGTTAAATGATTCTCGAAGCTTCTTATCAGTTTGATTGTTTCGACAGCCCAATATATTTTTCATTTTATATATGTTTACGCTTGTAATGGATAGGTAAGAGGTCGATACCATTTATTAAGCTGATTAATGTATATGATTCGACGTTTGTTATGGAACCACTTGCACAGTCACTATATGCATACGTTACATTATCACGTTAGAAATTACATATTTTCATTTTTGTTCTGAATCTAATAGTGTTGTAAAACTATTTCATGTTTGAGTCCTGAGTATCGAGGTCTTTCATTCTATAATAATTATCATTTCGTCGTGGTACGAGTGTAATGGTCTGCTATGCTCTCTCTTGTCTGGTGTAAGGTGTTCTTACTGTAAGAATACGACACTAAAAAGTGATTTATAAAACAGCAAGCGGTTTGGTTTAAAGCAAGTGTTCAGTCATCGCAACACGAGCATCCATCACTGTCGATCGGTAAATCTATTGCGATTCTTACTCCACTGAACAATGCTAGGACATTCGACATTAATAAAGAACGTGGCGCGAGTGTCGAGAAATATTGTAAGTTGTTAAACGATCGTCGTACGCTCACAGTCGACGTGCTTGACAAATTATTCAGGTACGTGTGCTACGAACTTGGATATTGTTGTTATGATGGATGGACCGTCGAAGACAAATTATTATGTTTTAATACGACCGATACATCCAGTCCTCTGTTACTGGAAGCTAACTATTTAGTATATTTACATTTTTTAAATAAAACAATCGTATTAATAAGTTAAATTCTTTAATGTGCTACGCAAGCGTAACCTATCAATAAGTTTAAAGTATAATAATGATGTAAAGTATTAAATTCTGACTCTGAGCCATCGGAGAGAATGGGAAAGTGAAGACGAGACCGCACGCCTTGCACCATCGCATCGGTGGAAATGAAAAATGAGTTATAACATATATTCAGTCTGGAGTCAATCGTTGACTTAAAGACACCTTTTTAGCAAGTTGTTAAATATAAATCTTAATTATGAGATCTAAGATTTTCGCGAGTACTCATTTAAATGAAACTAATATTTTCGGATTTTACTTCGCGTTTTTATTTTTTGATTACAAACTACATACTCCCGAGCAACGGTTGCTGAAAATTAGCCGAAACGTCGGGAGTATGTAGTTTATAATTAAAAAATAAAAATGCGAAGTAAAATTATATAAATCTTAATTGTTAATTCAATATAGTTTTATAAGTAAAACTGATTTTTCTCGCATGCTTCGCTGCCACCAAACGTAATTACCGTCAAAACATTAAACGTTCACCGGTGACGCGTCAACAATGTCGCGTAACTTTAACAAGTAAGAGTAATGAAGCCAATCATATATAACATAATGCAATCACGCGACCTGTGCTGAACTAGCCTCACGCACACACACACACACACACACACGCACACATCGCTCCGTCACTAATGTGTGTATTTATATTTGATTGTAAGCGAGGGTCGAGGACATACATCATGTTTATATCGAGTCGTTTATGATGAATGTCAAAGGTCGAGGGATATATTAGGGGAATTGACGGAGTTGACTGATACGAGAACTGGACACGAGAAAAATGAACTCACAGATATTAACTCGTTAAACAATGAATATGATGAACGATAGGTAGGAGGGTGTTTGTTGAGGAACAATTAGATATTAAGATAATAGACTGACCCACTGACATAGTGAATATTAAGATGCTGTAGTAGTCGAGGTTGTTTGGTAATATTAAGAGTCTTCTGATAAATATAGTTCATATTTTATGTTAACTAAATTGTAATATATTATAATGATTAAATGGAAATGTAAATGTTATTTAAAGAAAGCAATAAATCTCAGAAGTAGTTGAAATTACTCCAAATGTTGCATAATTGTATGTGAGTTATGCTTAGCCCGCGAGTGCTACACACACACACACACACGCACACATGCACAGAGCGCACAGCGAGCACAAGCGGACCGATCATTTACAAGTTTTACAGAGAGTTGCGCCATTTGTTCTAAATTTAGGAAGCAATGCCGTTGAGCGATTAATATTAAATGACCTCGTCGTATCAAGAGTGGATCAAAAGGAAACAAACAGAGGCACGGAACAATCGAGTGGGCCGATGGAAATAAATGTACTTAATATATTGTAAATAAGATCGCTCACAATCACTGGAAGGCTGGTCCGAGAGGTCTGTTATGTCTCGCGGGAAATCAACATCGACACGCACAACTAACAGACGTCCCGAACAACACACGGACAGAAAGACAGAGGGCCTGGAGGGTCCCGGGCCCGGGCCTGGCTCCTGGTAGCGCTGGGAACGTTTTAATAAGGCCGCCATCGACGGGACCTGTCCCCGTTATCTTAATTTATGATATTAAATTTTCTTTTGTATTGAAAGTTATCATCGCGGCACAATACTTTTATGTATTTTCTATAAATCATTGCTATTGGGAAATAACGTTTTGTTATCAACGTTTTGTTTGTTGTGTCGTGGCCAGGTAATAAATGTTGCCGATATTAATAACTAACAATATTACCACGAAGTATTATAGCGATCCGTTCCACTGTCAAGGGTTTATTTTAATTCCCTTGTATATAATAATACGAGTACATACAACCGCCGGGCTGGTCCCCGGGCGGCTCCTCCGAGCATGAGCGCGCCGAGCGGATGGTCTGATTCCAAACAATATGATATTATCTCATTCACGCAGTCCTAATAAGATTTACCTCAACGTTAACGCGCATCGCAGCATCCATTATTTAAACGTCTTATCTAAACACTGCTCCATTTCAAAACCTCTTTGTCTATATTGTGTGGGAGACTCACTAGTCGGGTGTTATGTCTGCTTGTTTCATTTCAATAAAACTAATAATATTATTACATATATCAGCTTTAATAACGGATGCGACATGAAAATGATTTGAGCCAGTCATCAATTATTATTAAAACTCATTACTATTCATGATTATTTTTAAAAGTAAAACGATGTCAAAGATTTTTTAAAAGGAGAATAGAACTATGTTTAAATCTTGGTATAAATATGACGCATGAGAGTTCAGTTAGTGCGTATCATTGAAGTATGTGATTATAAAGAACCTTCGACAAATACAAGAACATTAAGAACAATTGAAGTTTCATTTTAAAATATCATGGAACGTACTAGAAGAAGTGACATTTAGTGACCTCAGCAAGCGCGTCACTCTCTTATAAAAACAACGAATTTGTAATAAATACAATATGTATAAAATATAATAATATATTTATCTCAGTTCCTTATTAGCTCTATAAATTTCATTTTATTTGTTTTTACATACATAACACACCTACCCATACATTCGAACCAGTTATTTTTATTTTCTATGTTGAATATCACTCGTGCTATGTGTTCGACTAATGTGGAGCTAACAGTCGTTAAAATGGATTTTACAATATTTCAGTTCGTAGAAAATATTTAAATGTTCTCACAAACATTTCATAAACACTTTCCTGTTATTTTTCTTCACTGAAAAGAGATTAAGAATAAATAAACAATTCTTATAAATGTATTACTTGGTGTTGAAAAATATGCAAAGAATTTTAATGTTCCAAACTCTTGAGTATCCATTTGGTATTAAAATACATATAATGTCAGTATTCTTTTTATATCCTAGTGTATTTGATATTTCGTCAATCAAAACTCTTACAAGACATATTGTCAATGTTCAGTGTAAGGTGTACTCCTGTTCTTCGTCATGCTCACGGCCGCCGATTCAACCTTTCGCCGAACAAAAAGGCAAAATGATTAATTATTTTTGTGGCCTCTTCAAAACACGGCTCCTTTCTTCTAAGTACATCCGTTATTTTCCAGACCGATGACTATAAGAGGGAGATTTTCTTTTATACTAAAATTAATATTAAATTATGGTATAAATATTACTGTCGTTGTTTTTAAAGTTCTTTCTTAAGGCTAAGTTCTGCCACATTTAATGAATGTATTCCTGTTTCCTCTGAGTATCGTGAGCCTTAATCTGGTGAGAGTATCGGCTCGTGTGGAGGGTCGCATCAGACACGTAGCTGAACACATACACAGCTGAAAGCGGATCTCCATAAACAAGCATTAGTGACAAACCTGCACTGACCACACTCTGTGGACGTGATGAAAACATTCAGTTT